AGTAGTATTAAACTCCACCAATTTATGTAATGGAAACAAAACACTACATTAATTATATTATCAAGATTATGCTAGTTATGCAAGATATTATATGGGAAAGCAAGTGATGTATAAGTAATATGAGATTTTATATATGAAAATTAAATTCAGTGTATTTCAAAGCAAACCACTTGGCCCATATTCTTGAATACAGATTTCGTAGCTGGTGGCTGTAGCCTGTTTGGGCAAGCTGGAGAAATCAGCTTATTTTGAGAAGTATTTTTTTCAAAAGTATTTTTAAAAAAAGTATTTTGGGAGAGAAGCAGATTGTGTTTGGCTAATCACTCTGAAAATTACTTTTGAGCAATAATTTGTGTTTGGCCAAACTTTTCAGAAAGTATTTTTAAGTATCAAATTACGAATAAGGACATGAATAGATTTACTTTATAGTTAATATTATAAGTAAATAAATAATCTTAAAAATTTGTTATTACAGGCAATAATTAAATCTTTTCATTTTATTTAAGTAAAATATGAAAATAAAATTTAAAAGTACTTAAATTTTTTAATATAAGTTAAATATATTAAAAATCATTCTACAAATGTAAAAACATTCACCCCTAAAGTCACTATATATTAGAAAGTTATCCTAAAAATAATAAGAAATATTTATACATTAATATCCTAAGTATTAGGTTTAACGGTTATTTTGGTATATACTATATTTTGTTAAGGGTATTTTTGGTAAGAAGAAAAGTCAAAAATGCTTCTGCTTCTACTTTTGGGAAGAAACTACTCTTTTTTTTGCTTGTTAAAAACTACTTCTACTTCTACTTCTTCCCAAAAATACTTTTTTCTCCCAAAAAAGCTTAGCTAAAAATCTCAAGTTAGAAAAAAAAGTATTTTTGATAAAACACTTTTTGCCTCCAGAGAAACTTAGCCAAATAGTATCGCACTTATATGTCCATTCGTACATGGAACTCTCATTTTGTACGAATCAATAAATATCAACCACGAAGGGAGCCTTGGCGTAACTAGTAAAGTTGTTGCCATGTGACCTAAGGTCAAGGGTTGGAGCCGTGAAAATAGCATCTTGTATAAATGTAAGGGTAAGACTGTGTATAATAGACCCTTGTGATCTAACTCTTTTCGGACCCTGTACATAGTGAGAGTTTAGTGTATCGGGCTGCCCAATAAATATCAATCACGTCGTTTTGGGCCACATATCACACACTAAAAACACAATCGCGAGAAGACATGAGGCTAAAGGCTCCAGAATCATACACTTCTCTTATCTTCACATCTCCCACCCTTCAAATCTCCTCCACCCAATCCTTTAATCCACTAGATACCCTCTCTAAAAAGATCCCAACTCCCCTTCTCCTTATTTTTCCTTTTTCACCATTACCTTATTATCAATTCCCTCCTCTTAATTTTTTATTCCATTTCTTAATATCTCAAACATGGCTGCTGCAGTAAGTGCTGCAGTTTCTCTTCCATCATCCAAGTCAACCTCTTTTCCCAGTAGAACCTCCATCGTTTCCCCAGAAAAGATCAACTTCAACAAGGTAAAATTCAACTTATTTTCAGGTAATTCATTTACTTGGAACATGTTATATATTGACCATGGATTTATTCTTGGTTTGTGACAGGTGCCTTTGTACTACAGAAATGTGTCAGCTGGTAGCAGAGTGGTTTCTATCAGAGCCCAGGTGACAACAGAGGCTCCTGCTAAAGTTGAGAAGATTTCAAAGAAACAAGATGAGGGTGTAGTTGTAAACAAATTCAGGCCAAAGGAACCTTACGTTGGTAGATGTCTACTCAACACTAAGATCACTGGTGATGATGCTCCTGGTGAAACTTGGCACATGGTCTTTAGCACTGAGGGTATGGCCTTAATCAAAATATGATCTTCTTTTTTGTTCCTTTTAGTTAAGTTTGTTGGAGCTGAAGTACTTTTGTTGGATTTATTAGGAGAGATCCCATACAGAGAAGGACAATCCATTGGTGTGATTGCTGATGGTGTTGATGCCAATGGGAAGCCTCACAAGCTTAGATTGTACTCCATTGCTAGCAGTGCCCTTGGTGACTTCGGCGACTCCAAAACCGTAAGTTTTCAATTCCTATTTAGTAAAAAATTTCCATATACTACAGTTCAATTTTAACAGATCAAATAAACGTATGCATAGAGTGTGATTAAACTATAGTAGTTGTTTAGGGGCCTGCAAGTTTGCCGATAAGTGTGTGTGTCTGAACTTAAGGTTTTATACAGGTTTCTCTGTGCGTCAAAAGGCTTGTCTACACCAATGACAAAGGGGAAGAAGTTAAAGGAGTTTGCTCTAACTTCTTATGTAAGAATCAGCGACTCCCTAATTTCATAGACGATGTTAATGTTTATCTGTTTTATCTTAGTTTTCCAGTACATATTAGATTAAAAGTGACTGCTCCTAATATACAGTAGGAGTACAAGAATAAGTTTAGCCCTGCTTATATGTAACTTCAAATGTTTCGTATTTCAGGTGACTTGAAACCTGGAGCTGAGGTCAACATTACTGGACCTGTTGGGAAAGAAATGCTCATGCCTAAAGATCCAAATGCCACCGTTGTTATGGTGAGTTTTTCTTTAGCTAGTTTATTGTCATCTAAGTCAATTTCTGCTGCCTTTTTAGTTGACTATGCATTTTTTGCTAATTCGAATTTGTCAATCAGCTTGCAACTGGAACTGGAATTGCTCCTTTCCGTTCATTCTTGTGGAAAATGTTCTTTGAGAAACATGAGGATTACAAGGTACACAAAATAACCATTTGTTTGATTGTTGCTCTTCATTTTTAATTGTTTGGCTTCAGCACACTGCACATGGTAGTGAAAAGAAAAGAACCAAAAGAAGAAAATGCCTGGTCATAGGCTACAACTGTTTCATGTATGAACTAAAACTCAAGCCACACGGACTTTGGAGTCCAATATTAATGAACCATCAAAGTGTTCTATCCAATGAAGTCAAGTTAGGCACAAAAGTTTGAGTTGTAGAATCTTCGAAATAGTGAACTATTAAGTGCTATTTGAGCCAAAGATGACCGACTTTAAACACTTAAATATCCAACATCCGTTTATTGCAAGGCTTTGAACTACAGAAACAGCCAATGACAGAATATCATTGTAGTATATGACTTGATTTCAATGGCATTCTCTCTTCTCAGTTCTCACTACTCGATTGAATGATATGAATTTGCTATCGTACAGTTCAACGGTTTGGCATGGCTTTTCTTGGGTGTTCCCACCAGCAGCTCACTACTTTACAAGGAGGTAATATTCAAGTATACTACTTTTTGATTCTCCACTACGCACTCTGCTGAAATCAAAACACTTATAGCTAAGTTGATCAAGGTTTTCAAGTTGGGAATTTTCATGTTGCTGTGTTGTAGGAATTCGAGAAAATGAAGGAGAAGGCCCCGGAAAACTTTAGACTGGACTTTGCAGTGAGCAGAGAACAAACAAACGAAAAAGGCGAAAAGATGTACATCCAAACCAGAATGGCTCAGTATGCAGAAGAACTATGGGGTCTGCTACAGAAAGACAACACCTTCGTTTACATGTGTGGACTCAAGGGCATGGAGTCCGGAATTGATGACATTATGACTTCACTTGCTGCTAGAGATGGTAAACATGTCCAAACTATGTCGTCATTTTTTCCACACACATACACACGAATAAAATATTAAAATTCCTCAATCTTTTGTCATACACTATAAATATCGATCTGAAGCTTACATTTTGCTGTGCTATTGAAGGTATTGTATGGGCGGACTACAAGAAGCAATTGAAGAAGGCAGAGCAATGGAATGTGGAAGTCTACTAAATATTTTTGGTTTTCTTTGTATAAATATGAGCCAACTTTATGCTTCTCTACCCTTCATCCATGTAGATAGGTAAATTTTTCCTTTTAAATTAATTTTCATTTTTTTGGATTTTCCTTTTCTTGTAATTTCATCACTAAATGAATCAGTGTATTGGCATTGGCCCTCTAAAAGTTGAATTGATGGCATGGATCAATAACATATAGCTGAATCAACCTCAATTGCTCTCTGTTTATCTATAGTTCTATACTTGTCACTGCTTTTCTGATTACACGGGATAATCATATAGTAATGCATATTCAATTGACGAGTTCCTTGGCGTGTTTTCATTTTATTTTTTATTTTTTTCTAATCTTAATCTAATACGAACATTTCGCAATATATATTCACTATTTCTCGTGTAGTGAATTATCCACCTTCTCCACACACACACAAAAAAAAGAAGAAAAAAAAGATAAAGGCAAGACTCTTGGTTGTGTTTTGGAAAGAAATTCAAGGGGAGAACAGCAAATGCACATATGCGTTTGCTTCACATAGACAATTGGAACAAAAGCCAAATCCCATAATTAGTCAGAGACTTTAACAGTTTGAGGAAAGAAATTTAGTGAGCTACGATTCCTTTTTAGTAGTGATATATTATGACTAGACCAAAAACATTAATGATTTCCTGGTATTAGCCAGCCAAAGTATAGTGATACTTAAGTTTAAATTCTTCAAACCTGTTAGGATACACATAAACAAAAGTTAGATTCATGATACTAATCCAAACTATAACTATATTAGCTTTAAATTTGTATTAAATGAACTTGAAGACGTATCTTATCTATTTTACTTTTCTTCTGGGGCGTATTTTGGCTAAAAATAAAAGTTGTAACAAGAGATAGACATATTTAATTTTTCTAAGCAAGAAATTCATAATACAAGATACTTGGATAAATTCTAGAATACAATTTTACAACGTAAAATCTTGGTCTTACCATATTTATCGGATAAATATTCAACAAATTTACAACCAAAACCCAACTAAAATCAGGAACCGAAAAGCCCTAACGCCACCCCCTTAAAACGCTTTAAGGCGCCGAAACTCTATTTAGGGTTTCCCCTTTAGCTATAAGAGAATCTCTCGGCAGAGTTAGAGCTTTTTCAAGGGTTTGCCATCGGTTAACAATGGCGGTGGAGACGTCGAGAATGACAGGTGTTGTGTCCAAGTTCAACAACCAAAAAGGCTACGGATTCATCAAGCCTGACGATGGATCCGAGGATCTATTCGTTCATCAATCTGAGATCAAATCCGACGGCTACCGTTCTCTCTACGAAGGCCAGAAAGTGGAGTTCACCATGACTGTGAAGGGTGATAAGTATCAGGCTAATGATGTCACTGGTCCTGATGGTGCTCCTCTCGATAGTGGCCGTAACAATACCCGTGGTGGTTACGGCTATGGCGGTAGCGGTTATCGCAGGAACGGCGGTGGTGACGGTGGATATCGTAGTGGCGGTGGTGAGTGTTATGCTTGTGGGAGGACGGGACATTTAGCTAGGGATTGTGATCGTAGCAGTGGAGGCGGTGGTGGTGGCAGAGGCGGCGGGTGTTATAACTGTGGTGCCACTGGGCATTTAGCTCGGGATTGTGACCGTNACTGTGGAGAGGCAGGGCACTTTGCTAGGGAATGCACTAGCCAATCCGTCAACTGATCATGTACATGATCTTCCCCCTTTTTGTTATCAGTCCTAGTAATATTCCATTTTTGTTAGCATTGGACATGTTTTTTCCCAGTTGTTATTTTGTTAGCTATATGACTGGATGTTCTTTTGGAATTATGTTTCTCGGATGCATACTTTTGGTTAGTAGTCGATATACAAGTATATAAAATGCTGGATGTTCAGTTTTTGCACTTTAAGCAAATCTTTTATGCTCATCATAATTATGTATATGTATCTGTTGTGCAATTTTAATACGCTATATACAATACACACACACTCTTATGGAAAACTTGATAACCCACATAATGCATGAAGCTGATAAACTTGTGTGGTTTCAGTTGTGAGCTTGATAGTAAGCATGTCCTATGATATGCAGTCTATTTGGGAATCGTTGTGATTTCTGCTTGTGTTTATAATTCTATTTTGTATTTGTTTGTTGGGAATATGCTCCATTGATGGTCCTCTCAGCAAAATATTCAAACTAATGCTTTATGTTTAAACTTTGTTTGAACTATACCTGTTTGTTGGAATATGCTGGCATACGTTCAATAGTAGGTTAATAGTAGGTAATTAAAGAATTTCTAGTTCTCTCATAAAGAAGTATTCCCAAACTCCTTCTTCTATGATTTTGTAAAATTAATTTCCAAATTAGCATCATCGGCATCTAGCAAAAATGTGCTCTTTGATCTTTTCCTTTTATAAAAAGAATCTTATCTTTAAACAATTAATCTTGCAAAACTTTCCTAAGCTTAACAGTTCTATTCTAGCAGGAATTCGGATCGTTTTGCTAAAATTAATGAAAAAGAAGATGCAACAACTCACAAGTCTGTCTCCCCTTCCTTTGTAGTAGACTCTATTCCAAACACCTCTCTGTCTCCCCTTCCTTTGCATTTCCAATCTCTTTTACACTGACACATTTCACCTATTCAACACCCCTCTACCTAGTCATAATTTGCATTATTCAGACACTTTAGTTATTATCGTTAGCTACTCCAACTTTAAGTGCACCCGAGTTCTTATTGGAATTTAGAAAATTTTCATGTTATTGCCATTTTACTTTTGGGAAAAATTGAATTGTTGAACAAATAAAAAGTATAAGGGATTGAAATAGAAAGATGAGGTAATATGGAAATAGCATAGCTAAGAACGACTTATTGGCAAGGCGGCCAGTGTGCAAAGATTTGGGCGATGTGGGGTAGTAGGTAGAGCACGAGGCAATTGGTTGGGAAGGGGGAACCCTTGAGGTCTTTGGGAATTCTGAGAACTTACCTATGGAAATTTGAAGTGTCCCTTTTTCTTATGATTCTATTTTAATTTATTTTGTTGGTGACATTATAGGTGTCAGTTGAAGTATAAGTTTGGGAATCAAATTCTGAAGAGTAGCTGGATAAGTTTTTGCGAATATTTGTTTTGAAATAACATTTGATCTTAACTAGCTTGAGATTGAGTAGTAGTTTCCAGAGGAACACTTGATATGTAAACATTGTCCCCCTTTAGACTTTTTAAATACGGTCATATGGTGCATTGTACTTGAAAAAGTGGGAGTTACATGACCCCTGGTCGGGATGTTTGGTTGAGATTTAGGCCGTTGCTATCTGTTTTTATTGTTATGGCCTTTGTTTGTATTATTTACATTTAGTTGTGCTACTGAGCTGAGACCCCAACTTGTGGTTTCATGTACTTTCTTTTTATTGTTGATTTGTTGAATCTTTGCCATAGCTCTCTAGTCATGGCGGACTTCAACTTGTCGGTTCATGTATGTTCTTTTTATTGTTGAATCTTTGCCATAGCTCTCTAGTCATGTTGTAGGGATCATGAGTAACAAAACACAGTTCATCCTAATAATCTCTTCTTTTTCCAAATAGCTTATTAGGTTGGTTTTACTTTATTTTACTTAATAATATCATATGACAAGGATGGTGGTTCAAGGACTAATGTAGACTTAAATGATGTTCTTTAGTGAAAGAAATCTTCATGATCTTTGGCTGTTGATATTATGGAGCCAATAGTTCTGTTTTCAGAGAACAAGGAATGAGGGAACGGGGTTTAGAGTTCAAGCACATCACGTCTTGAGTCCATGGAGGACTCTGCAACACTGTACTTTATGGTGTAGGCTGTGTCTGATCTGTCGTGTGTCTCTCTGGGACTTAATGATTATGACCTTTTCTGGTAATAAATGGCTATCTGGGGAATATTAGTTAGTCTAGTATTTATGGTGATTTAAGCATACAATTTGGATTTTCTACTGAGCAGTTGAATTGCTAGTGGGTTAGTGGAAATCATTGATAGTTTTATTTAATAGAACTGATCAGGGTTCTTTCATTGAAACTTTGCAGGACAAACAGCTAGCTAAAATCTGGTAAACATTAAATGAACAACCAATCTCGCAAATCTACTCCCATAAATTCCCAGTTGGAAGATGTTAAACAACTTCTATCTAATCACTGTCTTGAGGAAATGCGAAGAACCTTTGTGTTGTGGCTAAACACCCCTAATTGCCTCTCAGCTTTCTACTCCTATGTGACAGCTTTTCCTGTTGACTTTATTTTGCTCCTCATTGTGGAGCCGGCTGACAAGTTAGATCCTCCAACCCTCATATTATTTCTGTGAAGTATAAATGGTAGCAGACTTTTCCCCCCAAATAAACACCTAGCTCCAAACTCAGACGAATAGGTGCTATACTTAATTAAGACAAACGAGGAAACTTATGCAACTAGCAAGAAGCACCGTCATCTCTTTACTCTAATATATGGGATACCCTACTTATCAGAGTTTAAAATTGACTTAGCTTGTATGGGTAGAGGTGAATATGTGTACAAGGTCTGCTGTGAGTGGCGTTGAGCTATTAAGTGGACTGATTTATATTACCGGGTGATTGAAGAATACTACCTGTTGAGCATCTGAATGTTTGAAAGTTTCAAATGGATATACTCTAAATGGTTAAAGAATCAGAAGAGTAGAAAGAGTAAAGATTACCCTGATCATGACTTTTACATGAATAACTAAAATGATCAGAAGATTAAGAAAAACTTGGATTGTTCTAGTTGAGCAGTTATTGTTGCTTAAGCAGAACTTTGTTCTGCCTTCTGATACTTTCTCTTGATTCGAGTACTGGAGGAGAGCTGAAGCTGAAACTCTTACAACACTCGTTAGTATTTCATTCTTTTACTGAATGTCTCCACAGGCGTTAGGGGCTAATATTGGAAAGCCCAATGCAGCAAACGATCTAAATTAGTCCGCTTATTAGGACAATCTATTTGTTTTTCTAGTGAAGTTTTAGCCAAAATTATCCTTATCTTTGGGGTTAAGTCTAATTTTGTCCTTTTATGTATTGCCCTGAGCACTTATTGTTCTTTAAGTTTGCTAAACTTGAGCAGATTTAGTCCATTTAACAAAAGACCCAAAGGGACACCTAAAAACTAATAGTGATTTCACTGAGTCAACTGGGTAAAGAAACTTTCAATACTCAAATTTTGCAGAACCGATGTAGTGAACCTAAACCTGTTTAACGGGTCGGGTTGACCCGGTTCCGAAATGGGCTAGACCGGTAGTAAACCGAACCGGCCCGGTGGAAGGGGGCCGGGTAGGGTTGGGTTTGGGGGTTTAGGGGGTTGGTCCGTATATATTTTTTTACCTGTTAACCGGACCGGTCAAACCCGGTCAATGAAAATTACTGTTGAACCGGTTAACCGGCCTGGCCTGGTTCAACGACTATTTTTTAATTTTTTTTTGGTTTAAATTATCACTTGTTTCTACAATCTTAAAGGTGACAAAAGGGTGAACCGGGCCCTTAGGCCCGGTACCGTTCCGGTTCAATTTTCACTGGATGGGCCCGGACCCGTTAAGCGGCCAGGATTGGTGACCGGCTGGTCATTATTTTTCTCAACCGGGCCGGGCCGGTCTGGTTAACCGGTTCAGCAGTAATTTTTATTGACCGGGTTTGATCGGTCCGGTTAACCGGTAAATATATACGAACCAACCCCCTTACCCCCCAAACCCAGCCCTACCCGGCCCCCTTCCACCAGTCCGGACCGGTCCGGAACCGGATCAACCCGACCCGTTAAACAGGTTTAGGTTCACTACATCTGTTCTGCAAAATTTGAGTACTGAAAGTTTCTTTACCCAGTTGACTCAGTGAAATCACTATTAGTTTTTAGGTCTCCCTTTGGGTCTTTTGTTAAATGGACTAAACATGCTCAAGTTTAGCAAACTTAAAGGACAATAAGTGTTCAGGGCAATAGATAAAGGACAAAGTTAGACTTAGCCCCAAAGATAAGGAACAATTTTGGCTAAAAACTTATTTTCTAGTCATAAGAAAAACGTATGAGGATTCAAATAACAACAACAAGAACACACCAGTGTAATCTCACAAGCGGGTACGAGAAGGGTAGGCTGTACGCAGACCTTAACTCTACTTCGTGAAGATATAGAGTTTGTTTCTCATAGACCATCGAGCTCAAGAAAAGCATAGTATACGTAATGCTTTCTCTATTCTATCACTTGTGTCGTTTTATTGATTTTTAAGTTTCTTACAGTAATATAATTTTCTATTATTAACTTTAACATCATGAAAACTCGCACCGTATTAAGATGCGGCATAGCCGATGAGCTTGCACCATCAATTTAAAGAGAGCTTAATGGAATCATTGACTGTAACAGTGTATCATAGCAAATGCTTAATGAATAATGGTAAAACTTTCCATTGAATGGTTTCTATTGATTATTCCTTCGAAAATGTGACGCAACTCTTGTGTGTTAATAGCCAGTCTTCTTTCCTTTGCATCGTACCCAAAAATTAACCCATACTTGCAGCCTTGCAGGAGGAATCAGAATCACATGTGGTCGTCTTTGATAATTTTTTAATTAAAAAAATAATTACAGCTTTTAGTAGTTAACCCCTACAATTAAACTGCCTATAGTTAGGGTAAGCAACTTGATTACTACTTTGCCGTTTTCCTTTTGGATTATGTGCATATTAATTTGCAAGGCAGACACATCTTTTTTTAAATCGAAAAAGGCCTAAAAATGCCACTCAACTAACATAAATGGCATATCTATGTCATCCGTTAAAAGGTCGGCTTATTCATGCCACTAACGTTATACTTTTAGAATATTCATGCCATTGTCTACTAATTAGGGGTTGGGTTAAAAGATGGTTGGATTTTATCGGATTGGGCATGGTTAATTATACATAATCAGGTTAAAAGAAATGTAGGGTCAAGTAAAGAAGAACCAGTAATATAAAGACACGTGGCAAAGGTGGGGTCGAAAAATTAATTCTTATTACGGAAAAACCAATGGAAATGTTAGTAGACAATGACATAAATAGGCCGAAAGTATAACGTTAGTGGCACGAATAGACCGACCTTTTAACGGATGGCATAGATAGACTATTTATATTAATTGAGTGGCATTTTTAGTCCTTTTCCGTTTTTAAATTTACTTCATCTTTTGAAGTTGAATTTTTCCTGCTACCGTAAAAAGCTTTTGAGTAATTTCTTGGATATTAATATTCTATTCTCTATATTATCAGGTTTTCGCACATTTTGAGGAAAGTGGAGAGAAATTTTGCCCGAAATCCTTTGGGCATATCGGAAAATATCTAAATCCAGTATAGGAGCGACTCCATTTTCCTTAGTGTATGGCTCCGAAACTTTAATTTCGGTCGAAGTTGGGGAACCAAGCGCAAGGTTCCGACATACATCGGAAGAATCGAACTATGAGGCAATGAATACTAGCCTCGAATTATTTAGATGAAAAACGAGAATCGACGCTGGTTCGAATGGCCGCACAAAAATAACGAATCGAAAGGTACTACAACAGAAGAACCAACCTCCGCCATTTCAAGACCGGGGACTTAGTGAGTTTTTTATTTAATAATATAATCATTAGATTATTTGTCTAAACTACATTTTTATCTTTTCCTTAAATATCTCATTTAGTTGATAATTCATTAATTGAAATAATTAGAACTTTTAGGGGGAAAAGTATTACTACTAAATAGCTTCTTAATTTGTCAAAACTTCAATATTTTGAAACGTTTTCGATTTATCATAATGGCTAATATAGCGAATAGAAGAGAGTATCAACCAACAACCAATGGCAGAGCCACCTCATATACTCCTTCGCCGGAAAATTATAATATTTAGCTTGGTCAAAAAATTTATTTTATGCATATGTATTATATATACGGTAAAAATCGGTTAGTCCTTCGTACGAACTGGTTTATATGGTAATACATTGGATCGGAGAAGCGTCTTCATAATATCAGGTTGAGGTCCGAAGTCAGGTTACCAAGCTTCGAGCCCGAATGACCGATCAATGTCGAACTTGATGTTATTATCAAGCTCGAACCCAAGTCGAACTAGGGTGCAAAGTAAAGTTATCGAGCTTATGATTCAGAGACCGACCAACACTGGCACCGAATCAATACAGGGATCCGAGTCAGAATCGAGCTCGAGTCAAGATCGAGAGCTCGAGTCAATATCAAGCTCACAGACAAGAGCCGTTGCAATCCCCACAAGAGGAGAGAATCATGGCAGGAATTATGAAAAAACTGATTTATCATGGGTCTCCCACTATGTATTTTTAATTATATCTAAAAGTAAGATCCTCCATTATAAAGATGATGTCTACATTTCTGTAAAAGACAGGTTTTTGGCTTACATTGTAACTCAAGCACCATATACTTCTATATTGAAGAGTTATTCTTTTAAGTTTTATAAATTGATTTATCTTGCTTAGTCCTAAAAATCATCTTCTTTCCAACCTCATTTATTTTGCATCCTTTGCAATCCGTATTTAATATTTCTATTTATCCTTATAATTTGTATTAAGCTATAACACGTAACCTTAGAACTACGTACAAATTCAACTCTATTCATTTTTCGGATAAACATATTATATGTTAACTCCCTTAATTTTCTTTCTGTGTTTATTTTGACAGCTCTTAAGTAAAAAATTTGACTCCGCCGCTACCTACAACCATCTTCCCCTTTTCGATTGCACTACGACCGTTTCTTTTTCTGTCAATACCTATTACTACTATTAGTTAATGTATCTCACTTGTTTTTCCTTTCTTTTATATTTCAAACATTTTAATACTCCCTCTCATAATGACAATGGCGGCACCAAATTTTGCAAAATCTGCGGTTTGTAACTTGTAAGCTGCTGAAATGGGTTTAAATGAGCCTATCTCTTGGTTTTCCCTTTTGTTTCAGCCATGAAGGGAGCCCCAGGACTATAAGCCATCAATATTAATTGATTAGTAAAGAATTAGAGAAAATAAAAATATAATTATTATGTGTTAATTTGTGTTTGCGGCTGAGGTTCAGTTCACTGGTTTCAACTTGCCACTGTCAAGAATCCACGCTATTTGACCGTTTCACAGATGGGTCCCGCAAGTGATGAACCAACCGTCATTGGGCCTTATTGCCATTTGCAAGGGGGTCCCACACCTATCTTCCCAAGGCCCATAGGGCCGTTGAATTTAACCGTCATTAACTCCCCGCCCTTCCCCCTTACCCAAAAGTCCCTTCTGTTACTTTATCTTTTTTTTCTCCTCTGTTAATTTTAAACACAGTAATTAGAGACATCTCTCCTTAAATCGCATTCTATTTAAATCCTCCCGCAACCCCGCTTAAGCATTACTCCCAAAGCTTTAAACTAATCCTTGAAACTTACGAATTTTAGCTCTTCCAATCCCAAAGCTCTATTCTCTTAATTTCTAATTTAAGCCATTTTGACCTGATCCGACACAGTTGCCGACCTTATACTGTGGCGGTGCTCTGTTCCCCCTCCAACGTCGCTCCAAAAATTTTTCTATAAATAGCTTAGTCCGACCACGTGATCCTTCTGACATTCATTTCAGTACTCCACATTGCCAACTTCTTCATTTCTCATTCTCTTCAAACATCTTAGTCAAAACAGAGAAATATTACAATGGCGAAACCTCAAGTTTTTCTTGCCCTGTTCTGTTCATGTTTCGTATTCCTAATTTCTGGTAAGTTTTGATTCTAGTATTCTTGTTATTCACATTATTGTGGTAAAGTTTGGAGCTTTGTTATTCATTTTTGTTGGTTTAATGAAACAGGGGTGTTATCAGCAACATTTACATTAGTAAACCAGTGCAGTTTTACAGTATGGCCCGGGATATTATCAGGTGCAGGAACTACCCAGCTTTCTCCTACTGGACTTCAACTGAATCCTGGACAGGCCATACCCATTTCAGTTCCAGCGGGTTGGTCGGGTCGTTTATGGGGTCGGACTTTTTGCTCCCAAGATTCTACTACGGGTAAATTCACTTGCGTGACAGGTGATTGTGGCTCCGAAACACTTGAGTGCACCGGCGGAGCTGCACCGCCGGCGACTCTAGCAGAGTTCACTCTCAACGGCGCCGGTGGCCTTGATTTCTATGACGTTAGCCTTGTGGATGGTTATAACTTGCCTATGTTAGTGAGCCCACAAGGTGGAACCGGAGCCGGAAACTGTTCGGCGACTGGGTGTGTCGTGGACCTTAACGGGCCGTGTCCGGCGGAGCTGAAGATGATGAGTACGGGCGGCGGCGGCGAGTGCGTGGCGTGCAAGAGCGCGTGTGAAGCGTTTGGCGATCCAAGGTATTGTTGTAGTGGGCCCTACGCTACGCCTGATACATGCAAGCCGACTGATTACTCGGAGTTTTTCAAGAGTTCATGCCCACGCGCTTACAGCTATGCGTATGATGATGGAACCAGTACCTTCACTTGTGCTTCTGCTGATTATGTCATCACATTTTGTCCTGCTCCTGCTGCTAGGTACATACTTCGCCGTTTTCCTTATCAACCAAGTTCTTTTCTCAATTTGGTTCAATTTAATGTCTCTTCAATTTCTTTCTTTTCTTGTTTTTCCAATTAAATTCCCCTTCTCCAATAGGTTTTGTGTTTTAAATAAATTTTTGCCGTGTGAGGTATAGCTTTAGTTAAACCTTAAGAAGGGAGTAATTACTTCATAAGCTAATATGTCTGACACCATAATAATTCTTAGAATTTAAGTTATATCTGTTGATAGTTAAATCTTTTCGTTAGTGTATTCTAATAGAATTAATTAATTATTAGCAAGGCATGTGTTTGGTTAGGCTAAGAAGTAGTCATATTTGTTGAACAAGCTAAGTAACATGGAATGCAAATATATATATGTTCGAGGGTGATGGAAGTTGTCCATCATGTGTGTCGGAAATGAGAGCATATGTGTTGTCAGTTGTCTCGCACTACCTTTTTGATCTTATAATGAGTCACACCTAGAATTGAAGCTCAAAGGAGTGTTGGCTTGATTTTAAGCAAACTAAGAAATTCTAAAAGTTGAGAATAGGATGAGGGAGGGTTGGGGCCATGTGCGTCGCTACCCTACATAATTTAGTGCTTACATCTTGGCTTCTCAGAGTCGGTTTGTTGTGTCTATTTTAATAAGAACCAATGCTTTTCATGTTACGTAGATTCAAAATGCTTACTTGTGTCCTAACAAATTGAGGCACCGTCCACGCTCAACTATCAATGTTATATCATGTCACCTTTATATAAAATAACTACTGCTGATAATTTAATACTACCTTAATTAATTACTTCGTTTATATATAGTTATCTAATACTTGCTAGTAAACCGGTGATCTAATAATGGTGTGTTAATATTGCAGTCAGAAATCATCTGGAGGACAATACGCTGGTGGGAGCAACGTTTCATTGGTCAGTAGCAGTGGTCGTACGTTAACCTCTGGCCCATTACCGTTCTACACAAGCTTGATGATCACCATTTTAGCAGCCCTTAATTTGGCAATATAATTGAGGCAGTTCCATTGATCTTTGTTACTATTACAAAGGATTTCTGGTCCCTGATTATGCTAGCTATTTGAAGTAGCCTGGGCCAACTCAATATTTTTGCCCCACGATTCTTGAATATATATACCCACTTTTGCATGTGAACTCAATAGCCCAAAGTCCGCCATTTTTTGGAGTCTTTGAAGATGTGGTATCCATGTGACGTGGGAATCTCTATTTTCTCTTTTTGATAAAAAAGAAGCAGCAGCACAAAGAGCTAGGGAAACAAAAGCGCGACAAGAACAAGAAGAAAGGGCTGGGCAAGTTGTAAATTGCCGACGTAGTGGAATGTTTTTACTTAATTATGATGATTGGTTGATATTAGAATTCAAATAGTTTTTTGTAATATAAAATAAAAGAAAAGTGTGGACAGGGTTTAGTGGCATGAGTTGAGATATCATTTTTGCTTATCAAGTAATGCCTTTTAATGACAATATATTAAGAAGGGTTAAATATTTCCTCTGGTTTTTGTCTTGTAATTTATTTGTGCATTTAATTTTGACATAAGCTTTTTGTAATCTATCCAAGTAGGTCTGAAGTTGGCCGCCATCGTTTGTTTGTTTTGATGATGTAAGTAGGATTTTTATTAGAAATAGTATGATTTCGTGTTAGCTTAGGTTGCCTTGAAAATGAAACATTATATCACGCGGCCAGATCGGAATATGAACTAAATAGATCATAGCCGAAACAGAAGAAATTAGTGCCATACCAGTGATAATGATTCAAACCAATCACCTAATTTTTATCCAAATATTCTACTTCAAAGTACAAAAGCTAGCATTAATGGTAAGTCATAACAAGGGCAAATTTTCTTAGACAGACTCCACCAACGTATGGATAAGAAGTAGAATTCTTGTCTTCATGCCGCAAGACTAAACGGGTATGATCAAATTCCCATTAAGATTAAAGGGGGGAAAAAAAAAAGCGCGTGACAACATCCACTAATTGCAGATATTTTTATTAGAGATTAGTCGCGCCACTTTCTCTCAACTCTGAAGTAAGCATTCCCAATTTGATCTTCACGCTGCTAGATATATAACATAAAGAGATAAAGAAAAACAGATACTATAAAAGTTATGCCAGCTTATAAAGCCAAGTTGCTACTTCACACACACATTGTATACGGTCAAAATCGATTTGAATCAGTCGTACGGACTGATCGAGACGATAAGGTTTCGATCAAAGGATATCTGCATGACAAGCTCGGTCAAGATCCGAAGTAAGGGCGGCGAGCTTCGAGCTCTAAGACCGATCAATGACAAGCTCGATATCATTATCGAGCCCATATCTAAATCGAACTACGAGGCAAAGCGGAGATTATCGAAGATGCATGGACCAATCAACACTCACCCCGATTACCGAGACCCCAAGTCAGAATCGAGCTCGGACCAAGGCCGAGGGTTCGATCCAACATCGAGCTCGCAGACTAGGGCCGTTGCAGCCGCATTATGGGAGAGAATCTTGGCGGAAATCGAGGAAAAGACAATACATCATGAGCTCTTCACTACGTATTTTTTATTATATATAAAGTAGGATCCCTCTACTATAAGAGGGACATGGATTGTAAGCAAGCAGGCGGCACGGTAACAAAAGATCACTTCTCATATTGAAAGATATCCCCTTCTGCTTGTTTTACTTTATCTTATTCATTCTTTTTGCTCACTATTTTCATTCCCATAGTCAAGAATACACATATTTCTATTTCTCTACACGATTTATATCAAATTGTATCGCATATCCTTAGAACCATATACAAATCTAACGTTATCCGATTTTTCGGATAAACAGTTTGGCGCCCACCATGGGGCTAAGAAATAGTGGTTGTTTGATACAAATCTGCAATACACACCAGTTTACAACTTCAGATCAACAATGGCAAACCCTCGATTGGTGGCTATACCTATCGACCACGAAGTCGGCCTTCAAGATGAAACCAACGACTTGACACCCAGGGCCGGAAGGCGAATTAACGATGTCACCGAAGCTCGAGTCGAAGTACCGCTAGATGTCAATTCACAAGTGGCTCTTGAGGCGAACCAACGTTCCGAACAGGAAAACAACATTCAGGGCGGTACTCGATCCGTAGCTCGAGACACCCATAACGTGGAAGAGATCAGAGTCAGCTTACGGATGATATTCGAGATGTTACAATCCCAGCAAATAGCTATAACTCAGTTGCAGAGCCAAACTCAGGAACGAAGCAGGCCGGAGCCCAATCCGCTTCGAGAAATCACCCACAGAACGGAACCAGAATGAGCCAGAATCGGGGACTACTCCCGAAATTACTAAATTGCTTGAGGAACTCACAAAATGAGTCGAAGCCAACGATAAAAAAGTAGAAACATATAATTCCAGGGTCGATCAGATCCCGGGAACTCCACCAATGATAAAAGGGCTAGATTCAAAAAAGTTCATTCAAAAGCCTTTTCCCTCGAGTGCAGCCCTAAAACCAATCCCCAAAAAATTTCGTATGCTCGAAATACCCAAATATAACGGAACGACCGACCCCAACGAGCACATCACTTCTTACACGTATGCCATCAAGGGCAATGATTTGGAAGATGATGAGATCGAATTTGTATTATTGAAAAAATTCGGTGAAACCCTGTCAAAGGGGGTAATGGTATGGTATCATAATTTACCATCTAACTCTATTGATTATTTTGCTATGCTTGCAGATTACTTCGTAAAATCACATGCCGGAGCCATAAAGGTCGAAATTAGAAAGTCGGACCTGTTCAAGGTAATACAAAAGGATAACGAGATGCTAAGGGAGTTCGTAGCTCGTTTTCAAATGGAACGAATGGATCTGCCACTAGTCACAAACAATTAGGCTGTTCAAGCTTTCACTCAAGGTCTAAACGAGCGGAGCTCGATGGCTTCACGGCGGCTGAAGCAAAATCTGATCGAGTACCCAGCTATTACTTGGACCGATGTGCACAATCGATATCAATCCAAAATAAGAGTCGAAGATGACCAGTTGATAGTCGACCAGAGATCGATACCAGCCATATAGCGGAAATGATACTACTGCTGAGTATTCGAGGCCTCTTTAAAATCAACCTCTTATACTAGGGGGCTTTATCATTGAACGCATCTGTGATGATTATCAAGTTTGGTGCAAAGGAAGTTACTTCGTTATTTCATGACAAACAGTGTCTCAATAGGAAACGTTGTAAGAGCCAAATGGTCAAAACAAACCATGCTTATATAGTTGGCCCGAGCCGTGACGCAAAACATGAACCCATGTATAATGATTTGCAAAGAAAGCCCTCTTCTTTACCGATATTCTATGTTCAAGATTTATTATGCAAACAGGATCGAGTTCGAGCAAGCGCTCACCCGATCATTATGCCTACGGGCTATTTTATTTCGAGTTCGAATCATTCACTCGACTACTAAAGCCTACGGGCCACTTTTATTTTGAGTTCGAGTAAGCACTCACTCGATCATTACGCCTACGGGCTACATTATTTCGAGTTCGAATCATTCACTCGACTACTAAACCTACGGGCTACTTTGATCATTACGCCTACGGGCTACTTTTATTTTGAGTTCGAGCAAGCACTCACTCGATCATTATGCCTACGGGCTACTTTATTTCAAGTTCGAATCATTCACTCGACTACTAAAGCCTACGGGCTGCTATTATTTCGAGTTCGAGCAAGCACTCACTCGATCATTACGCCTACGGGCTACTTTATTTCGAGTTCGAATCATTCACTCGACTACTAAAGCCTACATGCTACTTTTATTTCGAGTTCGAGCAAGCACTCACTCGATTATTATGCCTACGGGCTACATTATTTCGAGTTCGAATCATTCACTCGACTACTAAAGCCTACGGGCTACTTTTATTTCGAGTTCGAGCAAGCACTCACTCGATCATTACTCATATGGGCTACTTTATTTCGAGTTCGAATCATTCACTCGACTACTAAAGCCTACGGGCTACTTTTATTTCGAGTTCGAGCAAGCACTCACTCGATCATTACTCATATGGGCTACTTTATTTCGAGTTCGAATCATTCACTCGACTACTAAAGCCTACGGGCTACTTTTATTTCGAGTTTGAGCAAGCACTCACTCGATCATTACATCTACGGGCTACATTGCATCGAGTTCGAATTATTCAATCTACTGCTAAGCCTACGAGCTAGTTTTATTTCGAGTTCGAGTAAGCACTCACTGAACCATTAAGCCTACGGGCTACTTCGACCATTACGTCTACGGGCTGCATTGCATCGAGTTCGAATCATTCACTCTATTACTAAGCCTGCGGGCTACTTTTATTTCAATTTCGAGCAAAACTACTTATTTCTTCAAATTAAAATGAACACTTGACTATTTAAGCTGAAGGATGTTCGAGCCCGATAAAGCGAAGGGGACTACCCACAAGGCAACAAAGATTTAAATTCAAGCTATCTATTTAGTTTGAAAGGCTATTTTTCTTCAAAAAGAAGAAAGATTTATATTTACAAAATTTTTGTACAGAGGCGGCTACTCTTCCAAGAGGAAGTTCTTTATACAAAAACCTAAAGCGGTATCAAAAGAACAAAGCGATCAACCTAAGGCCCTAAATGACTCAATCTTCATCGGAGGCCGTATTCTCGGCATCGTCCTCATCTTCAGACTCCCCTGAGTCATCGGAGTCCTCCTCAGGAAAGGCCAACCTCCGAGCTTTGTTCTCCTCCGCCCCGGCGACTTCAATCTCGGCCCCAACATCGAAGCCCTGAGCTCTGACCTCCTCTAGAGCCTCTCTCCTCGCCTGCCACTTTGCATATTCGACCATGCTCGTAGCTTTGGCTTGATTAACCTCGACATCGATCCCGAACTGAGCTACTTTGGCATCGGCTCTTTTGTTGGCCTCGACCACTTCAGATCTGGCCACTTCGAGTTCTTTGGCCAAATATGCTTTATCTAAACTGGCCAAATCTAACCGATGCTGAAGCTCTTTCATCTTTTCGATCAGCCCCAAAGTATTTTTTTTTGCAGATCGAAGTTGGGCATCTGACAGCTCCAACTAAGCTTCGACGGCTTCCTTTTTCGAGGCAAGGTTATCCATACACTTTTTAATTCTTCTGCCTCGGCCAGTAGTGCATCTACCTGTGAGTTAAGCCGTCTAATCTGCTCGATCCTCTATCGAACCTGCAGAATCAGATCGTTAGTGGTTATCTCTTTTTCATCTTTACTATCATGGAACATTCGGAATACCTGGTTAGCCATCTCCTCATGCACTTCCCGAGCCGCTGTCTGCTCGAAGTTTTTCACTAAGAAGCTTGTACGAGTCACTCTTCTCAGAGAGGCTCCGAACCTCGGCGTCATGCTCCTCCCTGATTCGAAGAAAGGCCTCGTGATGCAACACCGAAGCCTGCAAACAAAAGGAGAAATATTAGAATTACCTGCAACTATGTGTAAAAGAAGCAGCGAAAACGCCATCAGAGTTACCCGATTC